TGCCTGTATGGCTCGTTTGGGCACTTTGCCACGACATGTGGGCTTTAAATTTCGATTTGAAGCTTTCGTGACTGCAGGGATTCATATTCTTGGTTCTTTCGGTAAAGTCAGGTAGAAGGGAAATAATAAAATAATAAAAATATTAATAAATACAATTCTCACGACGTTTCGGCCAAAACACAAGCAGCCGTCCTCAGGTGAAGAACAGAGCTTGTAAGACGCTGTCTTTCCGACAGCTCTGTTCTTCACCTGAGGACGGCTGCTTGTGTTGTGGCCGAAACGTCGTGAGAATTTTATTTTGTTTTATTTTTATTATTTTATTATTTCCCTTCTACGTGACTTTACCGAAAGAACCAATAATATGTGGGCTTTACTTGTAACTGTTATGCTCATGACACACACATGTACGTCCTGTTAGGCTCTGACTCTGCGATTGCAGTTTCTGCGCTGCTCGTGTCATCAAATTTTTTTATGAAATCTTGCTTGCAACAACATTTTATTGCACTAAATGTTGACAAGACTGAGGCCACATTTAATGGCTCGACTCTACAATTGTCGCAAATCAGATCGCCACGTTTGACGATGTCTGCTCATCACAGGAGGTCAGCAATCTTGGTGTTCAGTTTGACCGGTCCCTGCCCTCTGAGGCACGGGCAGGTGAATATAACTTGGTTCTTTCACTTTAGAAATATTGTCCGGCTGCATCATTTCCTGTCACCTAATGACTCAGAGAGACTGGTCCACGCTTTTCTGCTCTCCCGACTCGATTACTGCAACGTATAACTGTTCGGGATTCTGAGTAAGGCTCTGGGTTAGACTCCGACTCATTCACAATGCGGCTTCTAGAGTCCTTACGTGCACACCGTTTCGTGAGCACATCACACACTCGCTCCCTTGTCTCGACACTGGCTACCAGTCAAGTGGACTTAGATCCCACTGCTGACCGACATGGCTCTCAATTGGTTAGCCCCACAATATCTATGGGAACTGACCCGCTACTACTCTCCAACGAGCTCCCCTGGAAGCTTCGGATCACCTTCTTCTAAGTACTGCGAGGTCAAGGCGCTGTTTCTGGGGTGATCGAGCTTTTGCCAGCGCAGCTTCTAGACCAGGGGTGGGGAACGTCCGGCCCGCGGGCCGTATGAGGCCCGCGAAATCATTTGATGTGGCCCTGCCAAGGCAAGCGCAGACAGGACTCAAAATTCAATAAATCTAGGAGCAAACCTGGAAAAGTAGTTGCGAGTAGCAACATCATCGATACCAGCTAGCATCACACGCCTCACCAAAGAGAAGCAGTTCCAGCCATCACATTAGGGGTGAGTTAATTAAATGTTTGACCAAATATAACAGGCTAATTTTTAAGTTGTTAATTTTGTATGGCCCGCGAATGATGTTATAAATATCCAAATGGCCCTTGGCAGAAACAAGGTTCCCCACCCCTGGGCTCTAGACTATAGAACGCTTCGCCTTTGATAATACGACAATCAGAGCTACTAGGGCTATTTAAGTCTGGCTTGAAAACTCACCTCCTTAAATCGGAATTTACTTCGCTGATTCCGGCCGTTTGCCCCGCAGGTTTTGTTTATTTCCGCATTTGGATCGACGGATAAAATGTGCCTTAAAAAATGTTAATTTTTTTCATGAAGTTGATTAATCGACAAAAATGTGTAATCGATTACTTTTTAATGGTTGATTATAATAATTCTTTGCAGATGGTGGCTCACCCCACGTTCCGAAGGTGGGAAACCCGTTCTAAGCTGCCCCAGTGTCGCACGACTGACGATGCCACGAACCTTGACATCTGAACAGGTACGGGTGAGGCAGAGTCTCCCCAAGATAGCTGATGCTTCTTAGCCATAATGCTTAAAATATTCAGCTTAGATCCCAGCTGCCGTAGTGAATGATTTCAATAATAATTAGCGGAGTAATCAATTACAGTTTGTTCTCCTATCATGCTGCAGTTGCGTTCCTGAAGAAAACACCGTGTTGTGGAAAAATCGCGTTATAATAAACAATATAGGGAGTAAAGCACAGCCCGTGACAACACGTGAGACGCGTACGTAGGCTGAAGAAAGACTGAGGGCGCGTGGGTGGCGTCTAGAAGCATCCAGCAGCATCCCACTGCCTTGTGCGATGATGCTACGCCGAGGCAGCCGTAACGACCGCTTAGTCCGACTCGCGCGACGTCGTTCTGTTCACTCAATCGCGTTATATCCAATTCGCATCCGCGTTATAACAAATGTGTTCCCTAATATACGAATCGTGTTGTATCCAATTTGCGTCATGAAAACAACACGCGGCGTTATATGAGAACAGTCTGCACCAATTCTGTGAGGAGGTAGCCCAGCCTGAACCTGTTTACCTTCGCAATTGTGCTTCTATTTCAAACGCCCCGAGTCCACGATGGAAACAGTTCACTTTCTCAAACCCTCCGAGTGAACGCGCCGATGAACACCCCCCCCCCCCCCCCCCCCCACTGGGGGGACTTGACGATGCCAATCCGGTTGGCGACCTCCGCCGCATGCCATAAACGCAGGCCGCGTCGAGGTGCGGCCCCTCCCAAGCCGCCCCTTCTAAAAGCCTCACCTGGCCGAGCCGTCGAGCCGTCTAATCTGCCCTGGCCAGTTCTTATCGCTCCGCATCGAAACCGAGCAATGAAAACAGTGTCATCCGCTGTGAGCGTGCTGTAAAATAACAGAGGCTGTGTACTTAAGGTTGCCTTATACTGCGCATTGAATATCTAAAACAAATGTACACGAGGGCGTGACAATTGCATTTTTTGTCAACGATTTTTTACGGCAAAATTCAAGGTCACATTCGAACCTGGAATTGTTTTTTTTTCGTTCATTCCCGCCCAACAATTGCCCACGCATTCAAAATCGACGGGCGCATTAGCTCACACAGTTATAAACCCTTGCGGTCCTCTGAGCCAGGCCCCTCGACATCCACAGCAGCAGAGCAGCTCACGGGCTTTGCTTCTTATTAACCCCTGGAGCCTGCCTCTTCACGTAACCCGCGATACGGCCGCTAAGACACAACGTAACGATTCGCGTCGTCGTGGAGAGAGGAGAGGCCGTTTCGCGAACCCATGCTCACGGATAACAGAGTGCAAACCTGTATCTTTTCCCGCGACGCTGCACACGAGATGGACCTTCCCGATGACACAAGGTGGCTTATTGGTGTCCCGTGTCCGCGGTTGGTCAGGAAGGGGGTCGGTGCAAAAACTATTCCCGTTGTCTTGTGCTTTGTGCAAGGCTCTGGTGCAAGGTGGCGCTCTTAAATTTGGCGCCATTCAATGTGGCACTTCCTCGGTCCATTGAGGATTTTGAGTAGGCTTAACTTTTTAATTACCTCTTAAAACTCACTTATTTGTACTGCAGTATTGCTTTGTAACTTAAGCTTTAAAAAAAAGCTATTTTGTTGTCTGATTGGATTATTCGGCAATGATTATTATTCGCTCTTATCATAATTATACATTTTATTGGAATTTCGAGAGTAATCGTTGACATTGTAATTCTCAGTTTTTTATTTCGCTTAGATTGTACCTCTATATTTGCAAGTGTGGTTTTATTTTTTTGTACAGCGCTTCGAGAAAGTAGAGCTCACGATCGTTATTGCTCGCGTATTAAACACCATCCTTACTTAAACGGCGACTATTTAGTTGATTATCGAGGTTTCTATCCAGAGGCGCGGAGCTCAAACGAGGAGGAGACTTCGGTGCTCCCACGAGGGATGCCCCCATTGTGGCCACGTGCCCTGCGTGCGTTGCGACCACGTGTCCCTCTCTCATAGGTTTATTATTATCCATTGTTAATAAAATATTGCTGATATTTTTTAGTTGCAGTAGAACCCCTTTTCTTAACGACGGTAATTGGTTCCGCAGAAGCGGTGGTCAAGTGATTTGGTTGTTAAGCGAGGATAGAAAATACACGTTAAAGGCTTAATTCGTTCCGATAGCATCGAAAGATATACATTTTTCACCCATACAAAGTACTTTATAATATTTAAACGACAGACATTAATACATAAATATACTAACAGCATTATACACGCATAACATTGCAATTAACATGGTTGATAAATATATTCATTAATATTTACTTACCTACAACAGCCCGTCGTTGACAGGGTCTATATGCGAATGCATTGGGCTCAATGGAGGCCCGTCGCGAAGCGATTAGTCGTTGAGAGGGGTTCGACTGTTGAAACCCCCTTTGCCAGTAGCAAAATAATATTTTGCCAGTAGCAAAATAATATTTGCTACTGGCAAAGGAGGTTACAACGGTGTAAATGCTTACCCCGAGCTCTCATACTCTGATGGTGCATTGTCTTTGAGTTGTGCGCCTTTTGGCGTCATCTGGTCCAACACCATGTGAGACTAGGCTCTAAGGAAAGCTGTCTCGGGTATGGACCAATCAACTTCAAGGACAGTGCATACATTATCAGAGTTGTGTTTTTTGTTTGCATTCCGACTGCAGGTATTGTGGTCAATGCAAACATGACTCCTTCTAAAAATGGTGTCAGTTTTGTTGCCAGATAAAAGGGTAAAAAAAACTATTATCGGGTTCGACTGTGTTTTGTAACTTCTTTGTTTTCTGCCGGTGTTGATGTTCGTATTTAATTGGGTTCCTTCCTGCTGGGGTGGTGGCGTGACGGGTATGCACTGTCCTATAAACCCAGTGAGCTGAGTTGGACTCCCACTCATCGCTAACATCAGTGGCGAGTGAGATCTGAGTGGCATCTGAACTGATCCTGAACCTCCTTCATCAAGCCGCGTTGACCGGCATGGTGAAGTGTGGTCAAAGCAGCTCCCACAATCAAAGCGACATGGGGAGGCTTTCATACAGCATCGGGTTGACTAACGCCCGCAGAGTATATTACATCGCTGCAACACCCTCATTGAAGTTGGTGTTATCTCCTTTGAGACGTATTGTTTCATTTATGTATTGTGCTTTTGCACATTTGATTTAAAAAAAAAACCCTTTGACTGACTGTGACCACCAAGCGACAGGAGAAGTGTCGCCCTCAACTTGGAGGCAAAGATGGAAATCATCCAGTGACTGGGAACGGACCACGTTGCAGTGACGCACACGGGGATCTGTGTAACGGGAGGAGACTTTAATAAGACCCAGACACCGCTCACAACACCATGAGTTCGTCTCAGAAGCCAACGTCAAAAGGGAGCCAAGCGAGATGGAAAATCACGTGGCCGGTGATGAACGCTGCAGCCAACGGCGTGGTTTTCGCAGAGGCGTGCTGCGGCTCAGCCCCATCCTGTGAGAATTCCACAGCCTCCGCTGCAGCTCTTGGCAGGCAGAGTTGGCCTCGTGCCCCCCAAGCGTGCCTCGGAGTCTGCGAGACGTCTGTCCGAGGAAGGATTTGAGCAGCAGCTTTGAGGAGTGCCGAATGCGGGTCGGTCGCTGCCGACAAGAGAAATCCCAAGGCGGCTGTGAAGGGGGCTGTCCCTGTCTTCTTACCACATGTGCGGCGTGGACGATTTCTTGACCGAAGAGATTCCCTTCGAAACCGGCGCTTGTCCATTCCGAGCGCCGCGCTGCCCACAGCGGAGCCTGCAAGCGGCGGTGTCGCAGTGCAGCCCGGGGATTGCAGATACTGCTGATTGCACATACTGTAATGTACTGTAATTGCACATACTGTAATGTACTGTAATTGCACATACTGTAATGTACTGTAATTGCACATACTGTAATGCTCAAACGACTTGCAACGGGCAGTCTCAAGACCTCGGCGCTGAGGGGGTAAACTTTCCCCGCGGGCCACCCTGTCCGTTGTGTGTGATCGCCGCTCGTATTCAAACCACCGTCCCAACGTACGCGCGTTGAACTTCTTTCGCGCCGTACGCAACCAACCGTGCCCATCGGTGGCGGGGCAGGGGGGGGGGACAAGACCAAACACACACACAGCAGTGGCAGGTGCGCGGGGGGTATCAACTCCCCGCTCTGGAGCTATCAAAGCCGGCAGAGCGGGCGGCCTGCCGGGGCGGCAGCCGGGAAATTCCGCGGCCGCAGGTGGAATGCGGGGGTGGGGGGGTGGGGGTGGAGGGGGTGGGGGGTGGGGGGGGTGGGGGGGTGGGGGGGTGGGGGGGTGGGGGTGGGGGGTGGGGGTTGGGGGTGGGGGGGTGGTGGGGTTGGTGGGGGTGGGGGGGGTGGTGGGGGTGGGGGGGTGGTGGGGGGGTGGGGGGGTGGGGGAGTGGTGGGGGTGGGAGTGGGGAGGTGGTGGGGGGGGCTCCAGGGGTCACTCCGCCCGGCCCCCCCCCTCTCATCCCGCGCCGACGCTGAGTCGCGTCGCGTGCGGCGGCGGTGCCCGGCGACCCTCGGGGACGATCGCTTCGTGTGTAGGGGGCGCCGCGGTGGCGAGACGTCAACTACCTCGCCTGGCGTGCAGGAGCGCATGGGTTCGATCCCAACCACTGACGGCTGCTATAGATGTCTACGTGCTAAGCCACTTCGCTGAGCTATCACTTGTGGCCAGGTCGCTTCTGAAAAAGATCTATACAGCTCAGTGGGCCTTACCTGGTAAAATAAAAAATATGTTTTATATCATGGGACCTCCTTTGCCAGTACCAACATATGTGTAACACCGTTTTGAGACTAGGCTCACAAGAAAGCTGTCTCTGGTGTGGACCAATCAGTTTCAAACACAATGCATATATTATCAGAGTACGTTTTTTTGTTTGCATTCTGCCAAGTATTGTGGTTAATGCAGACATGATTCCTTGTAAAAGGTTTCAGTTTGGTGTTTTAACATCTTAACACCTGTTTTGTTGCCAGATAAAAGGGGGAACCCTATTCTCAAAAATGTTTTTAGTTGAGCTTCGTCATTGGGTGGCCAGGCTGATGCAATAAACAGAATAACGTTTAGAATCCACCATCTGATGGGAATTACTTGGCCTCACCAACCCACCGTGACCAGCGTGGTGAAGTATGGTCAAACTTGCCCCGAATCGACACAGCGTGGGGGTAAGCACCTGCAAACCAGTGGTGGCTTGACAAAGGGCTGTAGAATATCTATAATGTGACGGGCTTTCACGGTGCGATGGCCTGTCACTGAAGTTCACAGACAACGTGGACCCTTAGATCATTCAACGTGGGCACTTGAACAGCTTCACAGCCACAAAGTGAACGGTTCACCTGCTCGGAGATCTGTTTCTAGGGGCACCCTTTACTTAATTTAATTCGCGTTTGAGTTTGCTCCAGAATTCCAATAACAAAAATGGTCACCCCGTTCCACGTCTGGCTGCCTCTCCGCCGAAGGGGACTCGTGGCGACGTCGTTCCCTGAACGAGTGAGTGCAGTTCGCTCCAAGCTGCCCGTCGCTCGCCCCCTTCTGTGCCTGAACGCGCAAGTTTGCGGCACGTGCCCGCTCATACCCGCCATTGCAGATGTGTTTGAGCACTCTGCTGAAGACTGCCTTGAACTTCAAATTGTTGTTGCGGTTGTATCCGATTCAAGAGCCGAATGGCTCACAGGGCTATACCAAATACATGAAAGTGAAAAAGACGTTCACTGTCATCATCATTTGGCAATCGTGGTGTTCACAACACGCACACACTTCGCGTGCAAGTCACAGCCGATGTAATCAAGGTAAGCAGCCCACAACGGCCCCACAAGATACAGCGGCGTGCTGCACTCACGGCGAAGTCGATGAAACAATTCAAACTTGTGTTCACCTTTACGAGGATGGAAAAACACCAACTGTGGAAACAAGCAAAATAAATAAGTAACTAAACATTATTCGCCTAAACATTGATGCCCGGCCAATACACCAATCACAGCAGCAGCAGCAGCGCAGCCGACGACACCGCGTTGCAGTTGAGCGATAGGGCGGATATCCAGGTACAATGTGGCGGGTTTCTTTCTTCCACAGCCAAACACAAGAGGAACTCTATTCATTCTTTATTCCCTGATAACCCTGGCCCTTGCGAGATTGCGCCTATCCAGGAACGTCGCCACCGCGATAACGGGAGCTTTGAGATTGTCATTACGCGCACCGATGCATGGAAAGGCACAGGCGCGCGCACACGCCACGTCTGGGTGTTCTTGTATACGCATGGACAGTGTTCGTCTGAGAGAGCCCTTTTCCATCAAGCGACAGCGATTGTTCTGCGCACAAACTGCGCCCCGCCACTCATCATCATCATCATGATCACGATCCATGGGCAGATAGCCCCGTAGGTGTCCACTGCACGTGTCGTCATTTGTTGTTTCCACTTTCCTCTCCGTCTTGTGCCACTGTGCGCAAGTAGGGCCACATATTTGTGGCACCAATTTATTACGTCATTGTCAAGCCATTCTCTGTTGTTATTTATTCCTCTCTTCCTGGTTCTTTCCATATTTCCGAACAACGCACTTTTAATTTTCCTGTTCTTGACCATCCTACAAATGTGTTCAAATAGTGCCAATTTTCCTTTGCCACGAGTACGTGTGGTTAATGCAGACGATTGCTTGAAAAATGCATCTATTTGGTGTTTGAACATCTTAACACTTGTTTTATTGCCAGAAAGGGTAAAACCTGTTCTTATTTTCTAATCATCTTGGATACTGGCAAAAGGGTCCCATAGATATCATCATCATCATCACAACAGAAAATAGTGCAGGCCGAAAACGATAGGTTACAAACAACACGCAGACGCGTGCACAAACAGCAATCGGCCTTTGTGTATTATGAAGGAGAAAAAACCCATCAGCAGTTCCTGAACAACTGCATCGCATGGGGTGCAGCTCGCCTGACGGACCAGCAGCCTTTGATTTGTTAGATGCGGTGACATGTGGATATCACGTGTCTTTTTTCAGAGGACGAGTCGAATGTAATGTTTGATGTTGGACAATTTTAAAGAAAACGCTGCAATTGTGAGAATGGGGATTTTCTCTTGGTGGGGGGGACTTTATGATCGGGATGCGAGAGGTGCGAAAACACGCGAAGCGGAGACTTTCAAACGGGGATTCGCTTAAAACCGCAGCCAGGACTCAGGCCATCACCCCTCCGCGCCCTACAGAAGTCGAGCATCCAATTGTGACGGTGCGGACCGCGAGGTCGGCATGCGACCGCCCCGTTATCGCACGCAGGCTCCGGCTCCCGCACGAGGCGCGTGGACCTTGTCCCCCACTGCGTCTGGGCCGTTAAATCGAGATGAGCACTGCCCACTGAAGCTTTGTCTTCAGCACAGACGCCAAACACATACTACGCGTGCGTTTGCTACGATGTATTTCAGCGATTTTAATTCAACGTTTTTGGGGGGTTTTCCCCACCACAGTCGGATTCCAATTGTACGGTCGGAATCGCACCTTGAGATGAGTATCTTGTCACCTGGACGGATAGGCCTCTTTAATCCACACGAGCGTTAAACTGTCCATGTGCTCCACAAAGCGTGTGCATTCGCACAGAAATCCAAAATGTCTTAAGAACCATCACCAGAATTGATAAAAAAAAAAACTAAGTTAAAACGAAACTTGTACGTGACTTTTTTGGTGCATTCATCGGCTGAGACCGTCAAACCGCCGCACGGATGAACAATTGGCATCCGCCTGGATTCTAAACCAGAATCACAGCAGGGGCAGCTCGGCCCTCTAGCACCGCTGGGCCACTCTGCCACCTCGTACTGGCCACAAATACGCTGTACAAAGTTCAGTCACCATCATGAGATCCCCCTGAAGTAAGAGAGCATTCGAGTTTAACAACCATCGCTGGTGGATCTCTGTAAAAAGAAACACCCCTTTAATCGTGGGAGTGCTGCAACCAAACAAGCTGTGGCACGTGAAACGAAAAGTTAATTTGCAAATGAAATTGAAAACGTTCAATCGTAACAGGCAGCGCTGCGATGTGTTTGTGTCACCCCAGGCCACATCCAACCGATTGGGAGTACAACAACAAAACGAGCACTTCACAAGGCGTGCCCGTGGGCTCGGCACGGGCGCCCCAGCCAGGCCGGACCAGCCAGGCCAGACCCAAGCAAGCCAAACTCAGGCAGGCCAGACCCAGGAAGGCGGGGCCAGGCAGGCCAGACCCAGGCAGGTCAGACCCAGGCGGGCCACACCCAGGCAGGCCAGAACCCAGGCAGGCCAGACCCAGGCAGGCTTGCCCAGGCAGGCTTGCCCAGGTAGGCCAGACCCTGGCAGACCATACCAAGGCAGGCCAGACCCAGGCATGCCAGAACCCAGGCAGGCCAGAACCCAGGCAGGCCAGAACCCAGGGCAGGCCAGACCCAGGCATGCCAGAACCCAGGCAGGCCAGAACCCAGGCAGGCCAGAACCCAGGCAGGCCAGACCCAGGCATGCCAGAACCCAGGCAGGCCAGAACCCAGGCAGGCCAGACCCAGGCATGCCAGAACCCAGGCAGGCCAGAACCCAGGCAGGCCAGACCCCGGCATGCCAGAACCCAGGCAGGCCAGAATCCAGGCAGGCCAGACAAAGTTGCGCGCGCAGACCACCGTGACTCGGGCACTCGCGCACAGGTGATATGAGGACAGCGAATGGTCGGGGACATCAATTATTCTCGCACAGGAATCAACAGGAACGGGATAAATGATTGAGAAGCTGAATGGATGGGACTGGAATTGAGCCGCTGGGAGCTGGGGGACAAGGGGCGTATGAAGGACGTGGCGTGTGCAGGTGTGAGTAGGTGTATGTGTGTAGGTGTGTGAGTGTGTAGGTGTGTGTGTAGGTGTGTATGAGTGTGTGTAGGTGTGTGTGTGTGCAGGTGTGTGTAGGTGTGTGTGTAGGTGTGTGTGTGTAAGTGTGTGCATGTGTGTGTAGGTGTGTGTAGGTGTGTGTATGTGTGAGTAGGTGTATGTAGGCGTGTGCAGGTGTGTGTAAGTGTGAGTGTGTGCAGGTGTGTGTGAGTTTGTGTAGGTGTTTGTAGGTGTGTGTGTGTAGGTGTGTGTATAGGTGTG